GCCTCCAGCGCGGCCTGGTAGGCCGCCTCCTCCTCATCCTCCTCCGGCTTGACCACCCAGGGCGGCGGTGGGATGGCGGGGTTGAACTGCCCGCATCGGCGCTCCTCCTTGTACTCGAGCACGAACCAGACCTCCCAGCTGGGAGAGTCCCGCGCGTACATAGGGAGTTGCCGCTGCTCCGACGTCAGCAGCTTGCGACACCTGTGCACCTTCTGGGCGTACGCCAACACCGACCATCGCCAGCACCAGGATGCAGTGCGGGTGCAGATGCCATTCATGGGGCAGGTTGAAATCTAGATAGGGCAGCGGCTGCCGGCACTACCAGTGTCACTGCGCCTGGTGCATCGAAATGTACAACCGCTCCTTTTCCTGTGGCGACCCGCCGTGACATGGAGCCAGCGGCGGCGGCGTGCGGGACGAACTGGAGCTGGGCAGAACTTCCCCTTGCCCTTGCCGAAGAAGCCCATGGCGAGATAGGGTTTGGCTGTCGCCGGCGAGGGGGCAAGCTTGGCTATATGTGGACGGGTGGAGGGGAGTAGATGACCCCCCTCCCCCCTCCCCCGCACACTTGCATTAAAAACGATGTCGACTCGCAGCTTTCACCCATTGCCAGGCGGGCCCGAGGTAGGTGGCCACTTTTAATACGACCGCAGGCGGTGGTTGGGCGGCCGACAGGTGGGGCCACGACGGACACGCCTCCTCTTTTTCGTGTTCGTGGGGCGCAAATATGGGTCTGAAATGCGTCCAGACGAATACTGAACGGATATGTTTTAGGTTTGGTTCCACATGTTGGGCCGGTGTTTTGGTCCGTTTCAACTAAAACAGACATGTGTGACAGTTTGGGTCGCCTGATTGAAGTTGCTCTAAGTGGTTGGTTCGTTGAGCAGCGCCGTCCTAAGGGAATGCGCGCTGCACGCCTGCGCTACTGATCGGGAGTGGGATCACCCGAGCACAAAACTCAAAAGGCAGAGGCGCACAACACGGGGATGAAAATGGCATATAAAAGGAACCATAGCAGATTCTAAAAGAGGGAGAGAGGCGAGAGGGCACCATCTGAACCCATGGGCATATGCATCCACTTTTCATAAAATGCATTTTAAGCACGTTTTAAAATGTCAAAAAATAAAAGAAAATATCACGCATACATGTTCGCAAATGTTTGTACGTGGCACAAAGTTTTATGAAAAAATGTCTTTTTATTTTGCCTTCGCAAAAAAAAACAAATTTCAGTGCTTCTAAATAGTGTTTCATGACATAATTTTTTGTCTTTTTTGCACAAGCCACAAAAAAAGTTATTTTTCTATGAAACTTTATGCACGTAGAACATGGAGACGTACCTCTGCAAAAAAATTCAAGATTTTTTTAGAATTTAGAAATGCGTTTTTCAAAATAGGTTCATATGTATCCGAGAGGCAGGAAAAAGGACCGTCGCTACAGTACATCGCTGGACTGCTTGATAGTCCTGGGCTCCTGGCGAAACAATCATCCAGGCGCACGGTACAAATCTCGATCATCGTCACGAGACTAGCACCGAACAACAATCAAGATTCCTGACATTGTCGATACGCCATGGTGGTGCTTCCTGGAAACAACGATGAAGATTCCTGACGATGTCGCCATGGTGGTGCCAGTTGTGCTTGGTTTTGTCTGTTCGCTCGCACTGAGTTGGAGCCAATCGAAAGAGACGAGGGATGGCCAGCAAGGACTGACAGCGCACGTGAGGCAGGGACCTTTGGATCGAACAGTTTTTTTTTTTTTTTAAGAAACTGCAGCCTACTTGCTCTTTTGGTTCAAAGGAATGAAAAAATTGGTAGTGATTTTCATACTGGAACTCCAGAAGAATCCTAGTGCGAGGTCTCACCTCTTGAAAATTTTGTCTGTGCATATGGGATGTAATTTTCTATTTATGCAGGATTCGCCATGTGTCAAACCGAAAAGAGCAAATAGGGAGGACGGGCTCCATGGTGGACTTTGTACAAAAAAGCACATTTCTACATCGCGTTCAGGAAAATTTACATAAAAATATACTTTCATATGTGGTGTATGTGAAAAAACAAATATGTACATGAGGCTGGGCTATTTTTTTTGTTGTTATTGAGCCAGATTTTCTTTTTGTGTAGCTTGCAAATCATAATATTTTTGAACGAAATTTTATAGATACGTTGCGAATATGTACAAGTTTTCATTGAATGTTTTTCATTTTTTTTCGAACTTGGAAGTACTCCCTCCGTCTCGTTTGACACTACATCGGGGCGGAGGGAGTATCATTTTTGAATCATTTGAAATAAAGCCCTCCAATGTACCCGCCCACCAAAACTTTGCACTCTCAAACGTCCTATTGATGTGCATTCCAAAGAGGCCCAACATGACGCTCCCAACTTTTCAGCTGTTTTTAGCAAGGAGTGATAATTTATTTATCTTAAGTAGTAACGGTTGCTCAACTTAAAAAAAAGAGTAGTAACGGCTGTCTCGTTTATATAACCAAAATGTGTGCAACTAGTACTACTGTACAAGACATTCAATTAACAATGCACAACATAAGGCAGTACCCAGAAGTTTGAATCTCTGATGAGTATCTGACTGCAACAACACAACATAAAGAAGGATAGGATCTCACGTGTGGCACTGGTTACCTTTTACCGAATCCATTTTTCTGATCGTTGTGCCAGATTCAAAAGTTTAAGGCCAACTCCACCGCACGATCCCAAACAGACGTCCGAATTGACCGGATTTTGTCCCTTTGGGGCGCCGATGGGTTCGCCCGTGTCCGTCTTTGTCAGATGAGTCGTGCGTGCGCGCACTGCGCGGCCGCACCCCAAATCGTGTCCGGGGTGGACATGAATAAAAGAAATATTAAAATTAAAACGAAATAACTAAAAAACTAAATAAACACATTTTAAAAAAACATAAAATATATATAGGGGGCGGCCACAAAACGGCCCAGTTTCCACGGCCACTTAAAAGGCCCATTTTTCATAATTAACATATAAAACAAAATAAAAAAACGCCTCCGCCTCCCGCGCGCTCCTGCCGCGCCCGTTGGTGCCGTGGCCGTGGCCGTCTTCACTGGCCGCCGTCGTCGTCGCTGACGAGGTCGACATAGTCCGACGGCGTCCACAGGTGGGCCAGAGGTGCGTGGTGGACGGGGGCGGGCTGGACGGCCGGAGCTGCCTGCACCACCTCCTCCCGTGGCGAGGCCTCCCGCTCCGGTGACCGCGGCGGAGTGGGGCACCAGTTCACGCCCACGCCGGCGGACATCTCCGGAGCAGTGCAGGACCAGCGCCACCCCTGGCCCAGCAGCTGCTGGAACGCGGCCGGCGGGTCCTCCCTCCTCTCGTCCTCCAGGGCCACCATCTGGAGCTCCGGGAAGGCAACGTCCCCGGCGGCAGAGAGGGCCATGGCCTCCTCCAGGCCGTCCCACTGCCGCTCGTCGTGCGTGTACATGGAGTCGTCCATGACACGCTTGAGGAGACGGGCCTCCTCCTCCGCTGACATGCGAGGAGGTGGAGGGGGCGACGGAGACGGCGATGGCGACGGCGTGGGCGTGACGCCGCGCACCCGCCTACGCCCACGCTCCTGGGCGCGCCCCTGTCATGGCCGCCGCGGCCCCGTCGAGGTGCCGACGAAGAAGGACGCGCGCCTGGTGTCGTGCTCGTCATGAAACCAGGTGTCCCACAGCGCGGAGTCGGCGGCGTACCAGGGGTCGTAGAAGAGGTCGTCGGAGAGGAGACGGCGGCGGCGCTCGATCTCCTCTTCGCGCGCACGGCCGCTCGTCGGGACCGGCGGGATGGGGACCCGGTCGGCGGAGAGGTGCCAGTTATTGGGGAGATGGGCGTCGCTCCAGGGGAGCGGCATCCTCGTCTCCCAATAACGGCGGCACACCGACGCTCAGACGTAATGCCGGTCGCGCTCGCCGGCGGACGTGGGCGCGATGGAGAAGGCGGGCGGCGCGGGGGCCCGGCGTGGTGGCGATGGCGAGGCGGGCTCCTTCTTCACCGAGCCGCGGCGGCGTCCCGACGAGGAGCCGGCCTCGCGGTCATGCCTGCCTTTGCGGCCGTAGTTTCAGAGGCCCATGGCTGCGGGCAATCGGCCAGCGAGGTCTAGGCTAGGGTTTGGGACGTGGTCGCCGCTGTCGGGTTTGAGGAGGCCGCGGGGTGGCGTGGGGCAGTGTGGATGACGACCCGTCCATGCTTCCCACTTAAAGAAGGACGGCGACCGCTCGACGTGTGGATGACAGGTGGGGCCGCCCGCTCGTGCGCATTGATGTGGGCGGGTGGGAGGTAGGTGGCCGCCTGCCACGCGGCCCCGACGCGGACGAGCGCGCGTCCGTTTGGTGTCCGCCGCGACCCAAACCCGGCGCAAGTTTGCGCTCGAAATGGGTCGGCCCGGACAGAAAACGGACAAGATGAGTCCGGGCCATCGCGCGCTGGGCCGCCTCCTTTGTCCGTTTTACTCCAAACGGACGGGGCCAGACAGGATAGGGTCACGCGGTGGAGTTGGCCTAACCTTCTGGACTTGAGCAATCGCAACATTATCACACTATTTTAACCGCTCGAAGTTGACGAATTCAGATGAACTTAATTTATTTTTCATTATTTGGAAAGGGATACTGGGCTTCAGCTTTTGTACTTCATGCATATTTATAGATAGCAGTACTGGGGTACCACTCAAGAGAACATTTCTATTAAAAGGCAATTAAAACCGACTGATTTGGGTCTATTTTAGTCCCAACGATCAGCGGTTTTTAAGGCACCAAGATGAAATACATAGCTTCGATGCCATAAAATTAATCGTTTCATCAGCTTACCCAGATCCACATCTCGGTCTCAGTCTTCGTCTTCAGCAACCACAACGGCAAAAGAACGCCGTGCAGAGGATCAGGATCATCATCATCATCAACACCATTGCTCCAGAGCAGGCAATTCTATTCTGTCCTATCCACCTACCCCTGAATCTCAGCCATCAAGACGAGTGGCACACTCCATGATGATCTCAGTACCTCAGGCTGCGACCATGAGGGCAGCAGCCGCACCTCCTGCCACAGCAGCTTGCACCCATGTCCACCGGCAACCCTTTTGAATCACAAGCCAAAAACAAACGAGAAACGCCACATGAGGAAAGCAGTAAAATGAGGAACATTGATTTTACTGAGAAAAAGGACAATCAGATCGGTCCCGGAAAGAACACCTGCCGGAGACTTCATTCGATTCTAGACGCGCATTTGGCATTTTGACTATCAAGTAGCAGGAAGTGAGAACTCCAGATCTACTATCTCTTGCTGGAGTCACCAGATCTACTTGTTTATTTTGGAAGCCTTTTTTATTTCCACAAGGAAAGTGAGCAGTTTTTTTGAAACCTGAGAATGATGTCGAGTTCCTACTCAGGGGGGAAACAAGAATCTGGTCGATGGTGACGGAGGGGTCACACCTAATTTTCGAGATGACGATTGCCAGAATCTGGATCTGTGTGGAATAAACAACTGACGTTGATGTTGATTACGCTGGAAACTTTTCTAATTGCACAATCTGAACTGCGTTGAGAGTCGACCGTGGTCAACCTACGGCATGTGCACTCTCGAGTGCGCAAAAGCAGCGAGAAATGATGCCATCACCTAAAGTGTCATCCCCTTTCCGCAGACAAACCCCTAAAGGTCAATGTAAGCATGAACAACTGAGAGAAATAGACTAGAGCTCACCGTGGGCTCCCGCGACGCGGCCGAGATGTCGTAGTAGCCGTTGTCTCCGCCGGTGCTGTTGCCGCCGGGGGTGAAGTCGCCGCGCGCGGGCTTGTACGTGAGCGGGTACACCGGCGTGCTGTCGGGCTTGAACAGGCCGTAGTTGCGCTCGGACGCCGGCCCGGGCTTCATGTTCTCGTTGAACAGCGCGAACACGTAGACGCGCAGCGGCACGTTGGGCTTGAGCGGCGTGCCCTTCCACTCCGCCACCAGCCGCATCACGTTGCTGTTGTACCGGGCCGCGCTCTCCGGCGTCGCGGCCTTCTCGTTGGCGTCCCCCGCGGAGGGCCACCCCGTCTCGGAGATCCGTATCTCGACCGTCCGCGCCGCCGCGCTGTTCGCCGCCGAGATGGCGTGGTACGCCGCGTCGACCTGCGCCACGAGGAGGTTGGGATAGTGCAGCCCGGTGTTGGCGTCCGGGACGCCGGGGTTGCTCGGCTCGAGGAGAGCGTAGTCCAGATGGATGCCCTTGGGATCGTCGGAGTAGGCGAAGTAGGGGTAGGCGTTCACCAGGAACGGCGAGCCGGTCTTGGCGTGGAAGTCGAGGATGGGGCAGAGGTACTGGAGCAGGTCCTTCCGGAAGGCCCCCGCCGAGGGCGGGTAGGACGTCCCGAGGACGCCGAGGTTGTGCGCGGTCGTGACGGCGATCTGCTTGTCGAGGTTTGCCGCGGCGAGCGCGCCGTGGAGGGACTCCATGGCCGGGAGCAGGTTGCGGGTGAGCGCGGTGTCGTTGCCCGTGAGCACCTCGTTGCCCACGGTGAGCGCGACGATCTTGGTGTCCGGCAGGTAGGGCAGGATGCTGTCCTTGAGCCAGGACGTGGCGCCGGCCGGCTCGGCGACCGCGGCGAGGCACTGGTCGGGGACGCCGACGTAGAGCTCGATCCCGGTCTTGGCGAAGGCGCGCAGCACGCCGGGCTCGGGGTCGTAGAGCCGCACGCGGGCAATGCCGAGGCCCTGGAGCAGGGGCAGCGCGGCCTGCGGCGGCGGCAGGTTGTTTCCCACGCGGCCGTAGTTGATGCCCAGCAGCGACACCGGCGCCGGCGAGGCGTCCGACGCGAGCGCGAGCGCGAGCACGCACAGCGCCGCGGCGAGACAGAGGCCGCGGGCGCGCTGGAGCCGCCGCCGGCAGCCGTCGCGGAGCGGCATTATTGGAGGAGTGGAGCGGGATAGGGGAGAGCGAGGTGAGATTTGCGCGGACGAAGGTTTTGGGGCGGGGGGAGAGTGATTGGAGGTGGGTATGTGGGAAGGAAGAGTGAGATTTGGGGAGTAGAAGGCGATCGGGTGAAGTTACCGACAGAACTGAAACGGCGATAGTAGCACAGTATCTTTTTTTTACCGACACGAAGCGTTGGGAGTTCTGCACGTGGGACCCGGAGACAGCGAGACAACGGGGGTTGTTTACTGGAGTAGTCCGTGGAATGGGATCCGATGGGCGGCACGCGAGACTGTGCCCGTAGGCCGTGGACCGTGCCGGTGCCGCCGCAACGGCTGTATTTCTGGGGCCGTCCAAGCATGGGAAACGTTGGTGCCTACTGTGGCACACACGTGACGGTGGCAGGGGTGGGGGAGCCGCCCATCGCAAGTAGACGTTGCAAAAGGTCTCATTTTTCACTACTCCTTTTGTTTTTATTTACTTTGCATATTAGGTTTATCTAAGCTTAAACTTCATATTTTTTCAACAAGTTTGTAAAAAATATATTAACATAATACACCATCAAATATATATCATTGCATGTATTTCACATCATATAAATTTGTTGATGTAAATGTTCATATTGTTTTCTAAAATTTGGTCAAATTTTATAAAGTTTGACTCCAATTAAAACTAATATGCGGAATAAATAAAAACGGAGGGAGTGCGAGTAGTGCATTGCTGCAAGGAATTGATTTCATCCAAAGTCAATAATGCGGCACAGAGTGCTAGCAAAAGAAGATGAATACAACAAACTCGTTGTTCTTTTTAGCCAAACTGCTGATGAGTGCAGCCCGTCAATTTTCTTGGGCCCATGGGCTAGTATGAAACCAGGGTCAGCGCCAGAATGATGCTATTGGTCGACGCACACCACACCCTTGACACGTGAAGATGGAACCATCTGTGAGCACTCGTCCATGCTTGAGCACATGACGTTGGAGTTTCATGAGCAGCTCTATACATCGGAGGGTGTAATTGGCCGAGGAAGTGGTAGCATCTAGGACCATTAGTTGAATGCATGTGCGTTGCTAGGAAATAAAAACATTAAGACCCCGTTTGGTAGCAAAGTGTTTTCTAACCATTTCAAGAATACTATCGTTTTTTAGATTACCATAGTTTTATTTATAATGGGTTGTTTGATTGCCCCTAACAACTGTGGTTTTAATGCTATAATATTTACCAAACTGTAGTTTTTTCTCAGCATAAAAAAAAGAACCTCAAACCTCTCTTTTTTTTAAAGAAAGCAGCCGAAAAGAAGGGACTCGCCTCGTTATCCTTCCCCGCTCTGCTCAACAACTCGCCCTGGCCTCGCTCCCGCAGCCACGTCGCGGTGTCGCCTTTGGAGATATCTCCCTCGTCGACCATGGGGAAGCAAAGAGACCGTGATGGAGAAGGTGAGTACACTGTCCTTTATCCTCCCGCAATCGCTCCTCCTACATCTCCACGCCGATCGCCGGCCCCTTCCTCCTCCCGTTGCGGATTGGATCAACCCCTAGGTGACCCTCCTGCAAAGGATGCACCAAAAGAAGTTGTATGCTTTCACTGCTCGTGGTGATGACTATGAGTCAGTCCAGTGCCTCATGTTGACTTGCATGGAGTCAGTCCAGTGCCTCATGTTGACTTGCGTGGATCCTAAACTGTAAAAACGTTTTGAACGTTCTACCACTCAATTCATAATCGGGTCTCTGGAAGTTCTGTACAAGAAGCAGACAAGGACCGAAAGTTTTGAAATAACTAAGGCCTTGATTGAATGCAAGACGACAGAGGGTTCCTCAATGAGTGAGCATATAGTGAATCTCGCTCCTATGTTTATAGATTGTCTTCTCTGGAATTTGGAATTCCTCGGACACTCGGTACAGATATTGTGCTTGCTTCACTCCCCCCATCTTACGATGCTTTTATCATGAATAACAACATGAACGGGGCAGAGAAAAGTGCAAACGAGTTATTTGCTATGCTCAAAGTAGAAGCTCAGATGTAGAAGAACAAACAAGTGTTGATGGTCAACAAGACCACCAGTTTCAAGAAGAAGGGCAAGTCCAAGAAGAAATCTACTGGTGCCGGTAAGACCGTCTCTTAAGAGAAGAACAAGGGTGAAGCCAATAAGGAGACAAAACGTTTCTACAACAAACAGAACGGACACTGGAAACACAACTGCAAGAAGTAATTGGCGGATAAGAGGAACGGTTCTTCCAGTAAAGGTATAATAGTAATACAAAGTTAATGTTATTCTAGTTGCTGATTTACTGTAGGTCATGAGTATTTGATATTAGTCGGTTGCTCCTATTTGCAAACCGATGCAGGGACTACAAAAAGCTCGCAAGTTGAGAAGAAATCAAGATATTGTTGGGGAACGTAGCAGAAATTCAAAATTTTCCTACGTGTCACCAAGATCTATCTATGGAGAGACTAGCAACGAGGGGAAGGAGAGTGCATCTACATACCCTTGTAGATCGCTAAGCGGAAGCGTTCAAGAGAACGAGGTTGATGGAGTCGTACTCGTCGTGATTCAGATCACCGATGATCCTAGCGCCGAACGGACGGCACATCCGCGTTCAACACACGTACGGAGCAGCGACGTCTCCTCCTTCTTGATCCAGCAAGGGGGGAGGAGAGGTTAATGGAGATCCAGCAGCACGACGGCGTGGTGGTGGAAGTAGCGGGATTCCAACAGGGCTTCGCTAAGCGCTGCGGGAGGAGGGAGATGTGTCACGGGAGGGAGAGGGAGGCGCCAGGCCTTAGGTATCGTTGCCCTCCCTCCCCCCCCCCACTATATATAGGGCCAAGGGAGAGGGGGAGGGCGCAGCCTTGCCCCTTCCTCCAAGGAAGGGTGCGGCCAAGGGGGGGAGGAGTCCATCCTCCCCAAGGCACCTCGGAGGTGCCTTCCCCTTTTAGGACTCTCCTCTCCTCTTGTCCCTTTGGCGCATGGGCCTCTAGGGGCTGGTGCCCTTGGCCCATGTAGGTCAAGGCGCACCCCCTACAGCCCATGTGGCCCCTCGGGGCAGGTGGCCCCACCCGGTGGACCCCCGGGACCCTTCCGGTGGTCCCGGTACAATACCGGTGACCCCGAAACTTGTCCCGATGGCCGAAATAGCACTTCCTATATATAATTCTTTACCTCCGGACCATTCCGGAACTCCTCGTGACGTCCGGGATCTCATCCGGGACTCCGAACAACTTTCGGGTTACCACATACTAATATCTCTATAATCCTAGCGTCACCGAACCTTAAGTGTGTAGACCCTACGGGTTCGGGAGACATGCAGACATGATCGAGACGTTCTCCGGTCAATAACCAACAGCGGGATCTGGATACCCATGTTAGCTCCCACATGTTCCACGATGATCTCATCGGATGAACCACGATGTCAAGGACTTAATCAATCCCGTATACAATTCCCTTTGTCTAGCGGTACGATACTTGCCCGAGATTCGATCGTTGGTATCCCGATACCTTGTTCAATCTCGTTACCGGCAAGTCTCTTTACTCGTTCCGTAACACATCATCCCGTGATCAACTCCTTGATCACATTGTGCACATTATGATGATGTCCTACCGAGTGGGCCCAGAGATACCTCTCCGTTTACACGGAGTGACAAATCCCAGTCTCGATTCGTGCCAACCCAACAGACACTTTCGGAGATACTCGTAGTGTACCTTTATAGCCACCCAGTTACGTTGTGACGTTTGGCACACCCAAAGCACTCCTACGGTATCCGGGAGTTGCACAATCTCATGGTCTAAGGAAATGATACTTGACATTAGAAAAGCTTTAGCATACGAACTACACGATCTAGTGCTATGCTTAGGATTGGGTCTTGTCCATCACATCATTCTCCTAATGATGTGATCCCGTTATCAACGACATCCAATGTCCATGGTCAGGAAACCATAACCATCTATTGATCAACGAGCTAGTCAACTAGAGGCTTACTAGGGACATGGTGTTGTCTATATATCCACACATGTATCTGAGTTTCCTATCAATACAATTCTAGCATGGATAATAAATGATTATCATGAACAAGGAAATATAATAATAACTAATTTATTATTGCCTCTAGGGCATATTTCCAACAGTCTCCCACTTGCACTAGAGTCAATAATCCAGTTCACATCGCTATGTGATTAACACTCAAGGTCACATCCCCATGTGACTATCACCCAAAGAGTTTACTAGAGTCAATAATCTAGTTCACATTTACCATGTGATTAACACTCGATGAGTTCTGGGTTTGATCATGTTATGCTTGTGAGAGAGGTTATAGTCAACGGGTCTGAACCTTTCAGATCCGTGTGTGCTTTACAAATCTCTATGTCATCTCCTAGATGCAGCTACCACGCTCTATTTGGAGCTATTCCAAATAACTGTTCTACTATACGAACCCAGTTTACTACTCAGAATAATCTGGATTAGTGTCAAAGTTTGCATCGGCGTAACCCTTTACGACGAACTCTTTTACCACCTCCATATTCAAGAAAATTCCTTAGTCCACTAGTTACTAAGGATAACTTTGACCGCTGTCCTGTGATCCATTCTTGGATCACTCTTGTACCCCTTGACTGACTCATGGCAAGGCACACTTCAGGTGCGGTACACAACATAGCATACTGTAGAGTCTATGTCTTAAGCATAGGGGACGACCTTCATCCTTTCTCTCTATTCTGCCGTGGTCGAGCTTTAAGTCTTAACTTCATACCTTACAACTCAGGCAAGAACTCCTTCTTTGACTGATCCATCTTGAACACCTTCAAGATCATGTCAAGGAATGTGCTCATTTGAAAGTACCATTAAGCGTTTTGATCTATCCTTATAGATCTTGATGCTCAATGCTCAAGTAGCTTAATCCAGGCTTTCCATTGAAAAACACTTTTCAAATAACCCTATATGCTTTCCAGAAATTCTACGTCATTTCTGATCATCAATATGTCAACAACATATACTCACCAAAA